CATCTTTCCATCATCAAATCATTGAGCCACTCTTGTCAAGTTGTTTCGAGTAAATCAGTTGCCTTGAAACAAACCTCACCAAGTTTCACCGTATCATCGCATCATCCATGAACGTTCAAACGAGTATCAATCTTACGAAGTGTGTTCCTTGGGCATAGATCCCCACGAGGAGTCTATCACTAAAGAATTCAACAAGGTCAGAGAGGGGACACCACTTCAATATGAATTTTACAATCGAGAGAAGGATTATCGCTTCAAACTAGATTGTGCTTCATCAATAGCCGATCTTGACGAAAAGAACTACTATAGTGCTGCTGAAGGGGTAATTCACTTGCAGAGCCGTGCAAATGTTTACAGATGCCATAAACGATAAAATAAAAAATATTTCATTCTTTTAAAAAAAAATAACTATACTAATAAATATTGACTCCATATAGATTAAAAAACAGTAAAAAATTAAACTACCAAACAAACTATTAGTTATAAAACATAATTTTTTTTTTTAACAAAATTATTAACCAAACTTTCAAAACCAAATAGGTTCGTAACTAATAGTTAAACTATTAACCCATTTTTTGACGGATAAATAGTTAAATCATTCAATTTTAATTTGATTTACTCGAAAAATAAATAGATATCCAAGTTACTCAAACTTGTATGTAACAAACTAATTATATGATTAATTTAATATAATTCTTTAATAATTAATATTGTTTCTTTATTTTTTAGTTACTTTATCATTAGGAGCCTAAAGTTTTACCATGTAGGTTCATGTTTTGTTTATTCTAACTATCATAAAATCTTAAACATTAACCTATGTTTGTATAATTCCATTATTTGAGTTTAAATAACTGAATCTAAAAAACTTATGCCTTTATGATTTTATAAAAATTTTGATGCTATAAGCGAGTGTTTCTATTTTTTACATAGAGGCAATCACTTGATATATTCATGTATTAGTGTCTTCATGCATTATGATTTTATTATTCAATGTTTTTCATTTATTTATATTTTGTAGTTTCTTAACCTCGTCAAAGACGTCGACAAGTATGATTACTCTAAAGTACTCTCATCAGAGGATATCATCACATACGGACTCGTGTGTGCTATGGCCACCTTTGATCGAGCAAAACTTCAGGTAACATGTTTTATCATTTGATTTTAATTTGATAGTACTTTAGAACTTGACTTCTTGCTAATTTCCCCCTTTTTATTTTGTAGGGAGCGGTTAGGAAAGTCATGGAACCCGTCGGGGTGGTTCATCATCTCAAAGAGATTATCAAACCTTTCGGAGTTGTTTTCTACCTCACGGAAATCATCAAACACTTCCTTGAAGAGTAAGTTTGCTGTATATACACATGATAGATATTTTTATCTGATCTAATAACTATTTAGCTTTTAATTATGTAATCTGATCTATATGCAGGCGGTTTAGTGCTTGCATTGAACTGTTAGAAAATCAGAGACCACGACTTCTTTTAGATCTCTACCACTTTGAGCACGTGGACGTTTTGTTTATGGAGAGATTAACGATGTTATGGTGGCGGAATATTTAAAAAGTTTCACGATGATCATGATGGACAGTTACACGATGGGCTTTGTGGATCCCAGAAACGAGAATGAGGTGAGAAGAATCATTCTCGACTCTGGAGGCTTAGTCGTCCCCGAATCACAAGTGATCAGATTGATTGAAAGCAAAAAAATTCAGGTATGTACTACTTTTAGAAGCAATGTACATATATAGCTTTTGAGGTCACATGCTCAGATTAATACTTGTGTATTTGTTTCTTCTTCCTTTTTTTTGTATGCAGGGGCGTATTGAGGAATCATCTGGACGCAAATTTCTCCACCTTACCAAGCAAAGGCTGTAGCTCTCAAGCTACTTCATTCTACAACTTAATTTGTAGCTTATGTTTCATTTTGTGTCCTGCTTCAATTTCCATGAAGTCACAATTGGTTCAGACATTATTGTATCGACACTCTTAGGCTTTTTCTTGCCTTCCTCTACTTTTGGTAGAACCAACTCAAGAAAACTTTCCCTTTTGCCATGATTAGACTCCTAAATTAACTTGCATGGGCCTGGCCTATTAACACTCGGTCTTGTTCTTCTTACTACGGAAATAAATAAATTAACTTGCATGGGCCAATATGTTCATATAAAACAACATAGCCCACACGACCATTGAATATTCTAATCTCTACAAAATTACTAAAACTTACATTATGCCACCATTGAATTTTCTAATCCCTACGAAATCCATATTGCGATCAATTCATTATTATAATACTTTACAGTCAATGTTGTTGATAATCCATTAGATTAGTCTAAATTAATGGGCATGGCAATGCAATTGGCAACATCAAAACTGAAAAGATACGATGGAAAAAAGCAAAAGATAGATCGACTTTAATCAAACAACGAGCACACGACCGACCATTAAGATGTCACTAAAATGGATAAAACGAAAGAATCATTGCATTATCAAATCTACAATATTATACATAAAGAATGGTGGGATTAAAAAAAATAGTAATGCTTAGTCATAGAAAGGATGTAAAGGAAGGTGATGAGTCAAAAAAACGTCATTTCTATTACAAAAAAAAAAAACTTTGAAAAAACATAAAGACAAAAGTGGAGCCAAGAGGAAAAGAGAGTGAGGTAAGTATACCCTAAAAGCTTAGACCAATGTGGGCACCCTCCACTTTGAAATTGAATCATCTTTATATATAAATGGACCACATTGAAAAATATTGCATTTATAATTTTCGATTCCGTACTTGTTTGTGACTCTGTATTTATTTAATTAAGAGCTAGAATTTAAGCATATTAATTAATGATGTAAAAACACGGCAAAGTAGGAACGGAGAGTGTCGTGTGGTTGTCCTTCGTACGGCTGGATGCTTGAGGTTGTGTCTCTTTGAGTTGGAGTCAAACATTTTGACTTTCTTTGATAGTTTTGTTTGTGAAACTCTAGTAGCCATATTATAAGCCATTAATAATACTATTCCAGAAGATTTTTCCGTTTATTTTCCACCGACGACTGTTCAATACTAAGAGTACTGATAGAGATGTAGAGGAATGTAAGCTTAAGTATTCGGTATGGTTTGGTTTAGCGTTTTCGTGAGTTCAGATTTTTAAGGTTTTAGAAAGAAATCTCAAATATAATTAAATTTTATATTGGAATGGTCCTGTTATTTGGTTTTCAAGAACAAAAAATAGCAAAATAGAATTAATTATTCGG